CCATTCATGGGCTTCATTTAACTCCAATAGTTAATTTGACTAGTGGTCCTATCCAAGGTAAAGTTACTGAATATGAATCGCTTGGTGTTTACCAGTTTCTCGGTATTCCTTATGCAAAGCCACCGGTTGGTAAGTTGAGGTTACAGTTACCAGTTAAACCAGACCCATGGACTGAGGTTAAATCAGTGACTGACTTTGGTCCAGCATGTCTCCAACCAACAAGTTTAATTAACGTAAAAAGGACCAGCGAAGACTGTCTGTATCTTAATATCTATGTGACTGAATCAACTTTTAATAACTCAACAGAAAGACTACGACCAGTACTATTTTGGATTCATGGAGGAGCTTTTACAACAGGATCTGGCAATGCTGACACTGAAGGAATTCCAATGGTCCCGTTACATGATGTTATACTTGTTACTATGAATTATCGTCTTAATGCATTCGGTTTCATCTACTTTGGAGCCAACGAACCTCGAATTCCTCCAAATATTGGTTTGCAAGATCAACTATTTGCTTTGAAATGGGTCCATGAAAATATTCAAATGTTTGGTGGTGATCCGAATAGTGTGACAATTTTTGGTGAATCTGCTGGATCTATGTCAATCTCTGCTCACCTATTGTCCCCACTTTCCAAAGGGCTCTTCAAACGAGCTATTCTTCAGTCAGGAACAGTTTATATAGACCATGATTTAGATACCTTGATTACTGATTCTTGGAAACTCTATAATACTAGACTACTGTTGATAACAGTGAAGTCTGAGCGTTACATATGACGAAATTTTTATTGTTTTATTTAGATTTTTTTCTTTACGTTTTTATCTGTACGACAGAATAGTTCGATTTTCAGTTAAACCAGACACATTTTGTGACCGCAAAGATTAGAGATCTGAAACTCATTTTTCGTTCAATGTTTGGTCCACATGGTTGATCAAACAGTATTTTATTAAGCTAACAATCTAATCTATTGATCGATCTAAGAATCATAATTGTAGATTATGCTATTCTTGAAATATTAAGGTTAAAAGTTTTAGGCCGATAGCCAAAATCAAGCAAACTATTGATAAATTGAAAAAGTTTTCGATCCTTGATATGTATCAACAGCTATGGACAAAATAATAAGTTTCAGCTCATTATCTCTTACGCTCTCTTACAGAATAGCGTAGGTTTAACTGAAAATTAGAGGGATGTTACACAGAAACATAATTTTATCAAAATAAGTGCCTTTTCTAGTTGACCACATGAGTAAAATAATTTGCATGAAAATCTGGTTCCATAATTAAAAAAAGGCGATCGCAGTTACTACTTTGGCCGCGATTACCTCAAAAACTGCTAATTGAAAGTTCGTTATTAGAACTAATGGACTCAGTTTTTATGTGCTAACAAACCCATAAAGTCCCAAATCTTAACTCGAAAGGTGAAATTCTTCCTTTAGTATTTTTAATAGATTGACTCCTGTTTTTATCCAAAATAATTAATTTCGTAAAAGTGGGCCAATCTCAACCAAATTTTCGTCTGCAATGCCCCATGCCATAGGGATGCTAGATATAAAATTTGGTTGAGATTGGTTCAGTAGTTTTGGCTCTAGAGTGGGTAATTTCCCCACGCTTTTCATAATAAAGCCTTCGCTTACGCTCAGACAAAAACATGTTCAAAATCAGAAGACGTTCTTGAATGCATGCAGAATTTGACTACAAAGGAAATTCTAGATGGTCTGGATAATAGAGTAGTAGCATTTACCTTCACAGTTGGTGACACATTACTTCCATACGAACCATCCAAAATTCTTGCAAAAGGACTATACGATAATTCAGTTGACCTTTTACTGGGCGTTGAAAACAATGAAGCTTCGATGTTCATGAATGCTATCGATCCCATAGCTTTCGATTACTTTTCTCCTAAGCCAATATCTTTTCGTGAAGCTACAAACTTCTTGGAACGTATTTTTGATTCTAAATCAATTGACTATTTCCGTGAACTCTACTTTGGCACAGAAACTAACAACTCAGATTATTTGCGAGCTCAACTCGAAAGAGCTTACAGTGACCTTTTATTTGTTTGTCCGACTTATATCTTTGGGCATCAATATGCTTCTAATTTAGGTACAAAGGGTGGTAAAGTTTATGCTTATTTCCACACACAGAGACCAAAAGCTTATCTTTCTTTTTTTAACGAATGGATGGGAACATTTCATTCATCTGATATTCCATATGTTTTCGGTTTACCTCTGATAAAGTCTGGTTATTCACAGAAAGATATTTCATTGAGTCGTGAAATGATGAAAATCTGGACTCATTTCGCTGAAAATGGGTAAGTCTATTCATTTCATCGAGTAATCAATTAAATGACTTTGTTTCATTATTTATTTACAGTGAGCCTCCAATGGCTGGTGAAACTAAATGGAAACCATTCCAAGAAAAGATGTCAGCAATGGTACTAAACATAGATGATTGGGGAAAAACTGAAACGGAAAGAGTTGAATTTTGTCGGAAAGAATGGGATTATTTATATCCACACGTTAGTAAGAAAAGAAATCAAAGTTCATCATTTTAATTGTTAATCCCATAGCAAGTACCTATGCAACAGGAAAACTCAAACTTTGAATCAAATTTTCTTTATTGTCTTACCCGACAAAAAATGTGCTTTAAGAAGATATTATCTAGGTTATTGCTCATTGATTATTTTTTAATATGAATAATAATTTGAATATTTTACGTTCTTTTCAAGAAATTCATTTATGAATGGTAGATAATAATGAAAGAATCGTGGACGGAGAGTTAATGCAGAAGCGTTTATTGAATATGGGATAAGGTTCACAATATGGGTTTATAATTGCTTACTCACTAGTACAAGTTACAGTATTACAATAAAATGGTTACAATTTGAGTCACAAATGGTTGGGGTAACTATTAGGTGGATGGAGAGGCAGGTTAGGTTGTAATTGACTATAAGTAAATTAATCATTATGACACCTTTTGGTTCGACCATTTCGCATCAATCAAATTGACACTTTATTAGTTGCAATGGCTAGTAATTAATCTTGCTGTCTTCAGTATTTCACCTATTGTTAGATATTAATTGTGTAGTGAGTCAAAAGAGCCAAGTGAGCTTGTAAGAATTTAGTATAAAAGGATTAAAGTTTCTTACAAGGGAACAAGGCGAAGTGGTACTCACCGATTTTAATGTTCTATAGCTCATTCGAAAGAGCTCGTCGAGTAGATAAAAAGTTATTTTTTAGCTGCCCATATGACTTTTTGCAAAAGTTACAGGGTGTCAAAGTTGAAAATTTACACTTATTTTAATGTTCATTTAAACCAATATATTTTATTTAAATGTATAATTAATGGCATATGCGTTCTTAATTTTGTATTTCAGAACGTATGAAAGTGTTTTTTTTTCATAAAAACACTTGAGGCATAAACATTTTCTGCAGTTCGTCAATGCGCATTGAATGAATGATCCGCGGTTATCACTGCAATCAGTACAAATTATAGCATCTGGTTCAAAGCAAATTTCTTTTAGCCCTTCAAAACGAATAGATTCGATCGGGAATCTAGCTTTAGACAAGGCATAGCGGAACATAGGGCAAAAAAGGGGTGATTTAAACTGGTTAAGAATCAATGAATTCATGGTGATGATAGCTTCACGAGACTGTAAATTGACTGGAGCACGGTCGAGAATGACTCTTTCTTGAAATCTTTTAACGAAATCCTTCCACTGAGGAAATGTACACACGTCCAATGGCTGCATCAAACTAGTAGCCCCTTCAGGAATGAAAAACGTCTTTATTGTTTTCCCTGGAACTTGGTATAATGATTCATCTTTGTGACCAGTCCACGAATCAAGTAAAAGAATTTTTCAAGAGCGATTTTCGTATACACCTCGTTGATAAATCTCTTCATAAGATTTTTATCCAGTTTTCCTGTCTTGGAAGCAGTGATTACCAAGTTTGGCCAAGATGGTATTGTTATTCTGGGTCCGAATTCCCCAGTAGGTTCTTGTAAACAGATGAAGGCAGGAGGATGTATACGACCATCCATGGAAAGAACTGGCATAATTGTGTAAGAATGCGTGAAAGCGCTCATCTTTTCAACTAGAGCTTGAGTTTGCCTCTCTCCGATGTGTGAGAGAGTTCTAGCTCTGTGTTCTTCATATTTTATACCTGATTCATCAATCTTGAATATTTGTGCTGCATCAACATTCTTTTCTTTGCAAAAATCCATTATCTTAACGATTTTTGCAGCAGCATCGTGCTCAATATCTTTTTCCTTTGCTTTACCTACACGCGTTATGCATTTTGTGATTCTTCGTGATGCAAGACTTTGAGTTTTTTGAAAACCTGAACCCAAGTTTCAGATGCTTTGAAACTTTGGCAATTGATCTCTCTTGCTTTTTCAATAGCCCAACGTCTGATATCGTCATCATGAATGGTCAAAAAATCATCTCTGGCACGATCGAATCGCTCTACACAATGTTCAGTGATTTTTAGCATTTTTTCCCTCAATGTTCCTTGAGCTTGCACATACTCTATAATGCGCGGAATGTAACTCTTATGGCGGATCCTTCGAAATCGGTGTTGAAAAGTTTCAAAAGACCAATTGGGAGGATCTTGTTTAATTGTCAATGCTTTGAGACAATACTCATACGTTTAAAAATCAC